GATGGATAATTGGGTTGTTTATAGTTTGGGGCAATAATAAACAGTGCTGCTGTGAGCATTCTTGAACTTGTCTTTTAATGAGCATACTTTTACGTTTTTCCTGGTTATATACCTAGAAGCAGAATCATACTGCCATAAGGAATGTATGTGTTGAGCTTTAGTAGATACTCCCGCAGTTCTCTCAAGTGGTTGTGTCTGTGATGGTTACTTAACCAGTATTCACTGAGCACCTGCTGTATTCCAAGCGTCATGCCAGGTGCTGGGGATATACTGGTGAACAACACAGTCCTTGCCCTGGTGAAGTTTATGTTCTCTTGGAAGGGAAGTGGAGACACAGGTATGAATCAGTATTATTCCCACGAATTTTAAAAATTACAGTTGAAACAACTGTACCTAGTGAAAAAAGAAAGCTAGGGTTTTGGTATGTTTTGATCATAGTATTTGAAATGATTTACACAACAATATAGCAGTGTCCACTTAAAGCTAAGCTGTTTAGTGTTTTTTGTTTTTAACTGTTCAGGCTGTTGAAAATCCTACAGCTACAGAGATTCAAGATGTATGCTCAGCAGTTGGACTTAACGTATTTCTTGAGGTAAGGAGTGGTTCTTTCTTTATTATTTCCCATACTCATTGATGTAATAACTTTCTTAAAGCCTGTTTGTATTTATTTTTTTTTAATGTTAGAAAAATAAAATGTACTCTAGAGAATGGAATCGTGATGCTCAGTACAGGGGCAGAGTCCGGGTCCAGCTCAAACAAGAAGATGGCAGCCTCTGTCTTGTACAGTTCCCATCACGTAAGCTTTTTTTAATGAATGAACAAAGTTTGGAGATAGATTATTCTTCTGCACTGCAAAAAGTGTTCTAAAACCGACCTTTTGAAAGGTAAAAATCATAATTTGCGTTTAGCAGATTAATTTAGAGACAGGACTACTGCTGATGGAGGGAGGTGAATGGTGGTTTTCACTTCTTTTAAGTCAAGGACTTCTTTGAGCATGTGATGAAACCTACTCATCGTTTCTCCAAAAAAATTGTTTTGTTAACATTTTATAAACCTCTGGAAGCCTGTCATTGTTCCTAGGTTAAGAGTGTAAAATTATTAAATGGTCAGGTGTTAATTGCCATTTCAGATCCTAGAGACCCTTGAGGTCTGTTAATAATTTCTATCATTAATAAATCTAAAAAGCCATGTTGAGTGAAAAAAGCAAGAGATATGCATAATGTGGTACCACTTAGGTAAATTTAAATGCAAAATATTACC